CCCATCACAGCCAAAACCTCTGTGTGTATGGCTACAGAGGGAAGGCCTGGAGAGCGACCCCCCCGGCGACTCCAAGGCGGGCACGCACACCAGGGGGGTCCTGGAAGGATCACAGAGGCATTTAAATGCCTCCCTGTGCCTTCCCCAGCCTGTCCAAGGGCCGGCTTGCCTGGGCTTCCTGCAGCTGCGGGGCACCTGGGCAAGCCAAAGGAAGGCAGTTTAAACTCCCCTCCCATCCCCTCCAAAGGGCCAGCTTGCCCGAGCTTCCCGCAAGGGAAGGAATGGGGTGTGTGGCCTAATATGCTAATGAGCTGCGCTGTCATGGGGTGTGGCCTAATAGGCTAATGAGTTTGTACTGTTGGGTGTGGCCTATTATGCTAATGAGTTCCTGCTGGGCTTTTTCTATATGTGGCTTTTTCTATAGCAGGAACTCATTAGCATAATAGGCCGCATATTGGGGGGGGATTCTTCACTGAGCTCCAGCTACTTGGTACCTTGACCAGCTGAGTAAATTCCATATCCTCCATGATAGAATGAGGTCTCCACAAGACCCATTTCTCCTCATACATCTCATGATGTCCACTCATATGCCTTTATTTGTTACTTATATATCTACTTCATTTATACCCTGACTTCTTCCCAAATGGGGAACAAAGGGGCTTATATTGCTCTCCTCTCCTCTGTTTCATTCTCACAACAACCCTGTAGGTTAGGATGAAAGTGTGTGACTGACCCAAGGTCACCCAGCAAGCTTACATAGCAGAGGGGGGGGGTTGAAACCTGGGTCTCCCACAGAGTTGCACATGGATACTGTATATCCAACAATTTTTTCTGTATTGAGTATTTTAAATATTTCACCAACCACACAAATTCTATATGATATGATTAGATAAATTCTCACTGATCCAAGTAGCCTATTTCGGAACAACCTTGGTTATTGCTAATTAGTCCTTCATTCTTAAATAATTGATCTATTCATGTTCTTTATAATGTGTTATTGCTGTTATTGTCACTATTATTATTATTATCTCCCTTATAGATAAAAGCCGAATGGTGGTGGCACTTCTCTAGAACATTCCACACGCTCCAAAAATGGTGGTGGCACTTCTCTAGAACATTCCACACGCTCCAAAATCAGTTCGCTCTCTGATCTATCATTCAGAGGGTCTCCATATCCACTGGCTGCTTTGCCTGAGTCCTGAGTCCTGCCTCCAACATTCCTCTCCCCCCCATAGCCAGTTAGAACACAGAGGTTATTTGCATATGCAGCCTCATTGGCCTTTGCCTCGGAATACAGAGGTCATTTCCATATGCGACTTGATTGGCTTTTGCCTCTAACATTCTAAACAATTTGCTATTCTGAGGTAAAATGTGTCCAATCTCCAGGTGAGGGCTGGAGATCACTCAGAATTACAACTGCTTTCCAGATGGCAGAGATCAGTTCCCCTGGAGAAAATGGTGGGCTCTATATCCTTATATGCTGCTGAGATGACCCCC